CTTACTACCTACACGTCAAGTTATTAACAAACGGCTATTAACACGCATTGTTTTATTATTATTATTACTGTAATTCCATTTTTTTATAGCTCAAATAATCTTCACCCAAATTGTCATTTTAAGCGTGTCAAGCATGAAGGCAGATTTTTTTTAAAAATTATTACATGTATTTCCCGACCAGATGCTGCCGCTTTCTTTTTGATTTATCTTTCAGCTTATCAATACCCGGAGGATTCTTATTATCCTTAGTAACCTCCGGCGCACGACGATCCCATCCAATTTGGTATCGAACCAACATCACGTTGATTCTGGTGGGAGAGTAGTGTAGTGGCATTAAACAATAACCGCACAATCCACAAAGCTGAACACGAGACTACCCAGAAAATAGATATTCAATATTTAACGCGGATAAATACCTAACGATGGAGAAGGCGCGAAGATTGAATTGAATTGACTGGAGTTGATCGAGTGGCATGGCTCGGCCATGCAGGCGTGGTCTCTGCTGAATGTTACCTTATATCTTCTATTCATATTAAATATATTGTTCTTTCTCTAGCCTAACCTTGTTCTACATCATATATTGGTAATTGGTACGATACAGTGAGTTGGTGTAGTCGATGGTGTAACTTCCACGTAAGATCTTATAGATTAGGCAGTTATATCATGACAAATCTACAAATTTAGGATTAGGTCTATTATTAGAGCAGTACTAATATCATAGTACACCATAATTCTACAGTACTTCTTTAGTACGGATTGTTCTGGTTTAAGCTCCTGGATGGAATGATTTTCGGCCATTTTTAAATGTTGGATGCGAAGAAATCTGGGTAGCTTTGAACGAATCATACAAACAACCTTAAATTCATTTTTTGGATCTGTAGAATGGTTACAGTCGATTAGGTGTTCAAGTATAGAACTCCTAACTGCTTTCCTTTCCCCCTTTAGAGAACCAAGCTGGAATATGTTCCCGTATCCGAGCTGAAAGCGAGTGCTGGCTACGGCCAATGTACTTTGCTCCACACGCAGGGACAAAGCCCTCTGAATACAGACTGTGAAAGTAGCTCCACAGAAGCAGTCGAGTTAATTTACTCAGACCAGCTAACTTCGAAGTCACACCTAGCGGTCAGCACCTAGCGTGCATAACCCCCTCGACGTATCAAAGTACTATGCCCGCTCTGAAGACTGTATAACACAGAGGACGTTAGTACAGAAATACACCAGTAAAAATGAGTACAGAGTATGAGTACAGCGAGACCACCACCTCATTGGCCAGTCCATGGCATACGACCAACTGATGAGCGTTGCTTGTCCTTGGCCTTGACATCGACCGATTATATGTTCGATATTCAGTGACCCAACTAACCAACCAAAATTGTTACAGACACACATTTACTCAGGAGTAATCGTAAGCCGAGACTCTAGAACTACTGCACACTGACGTGTGATAGCTGCCATGTCGACGCTAAAACATTTTTGACTTTGTATTCAGTAAGCTCATAAAAGTTTAATGAACCACAAATAAGCTGGTTCTTGGAAAAGGCAGAGCTGTCTTATGATGCTCGACTGGCTAAAATGAACGTATTTCCATTGTCGTATCGGAGGAACAGAAAGAACTTGATCACGATTTCAAGTTACCGGCTGATAAGTTTGCATCTGATATGCCCCCATGCTTCTTGCCCTCCAAAACTGAAAATTTACGGGAACACTTTACAAAGGTGTACAAGCCCAGAACAGATTACATATCAGCATACTGTCGACTTCCCCGTCGAATCATCAACATATGAAATTCATTACTTCAGCACCTAGTTGAAGCCTCATCTATCGGCGCTTTCAAAAGAAAGTTGGATCAACTGAGAAACCGCTATTACCAGAATTATTACAAATCACCCAGCCTGCTGTCCTTTCTAGACTGAAACCTAAATCATTCGGATTGACGATATTTCAAAATAGCTGCTTTAGTTTTTATTTGTCGCCATCTACACTATCCTCAGGACATAATATTTTGACTTGCCGTTTAATCAAATTTAATTTGTATCGAAGTGATTCAAAGTCATGAAAATGTAAATACTGATCTGTCCACGTCTTTTCCCAAATACACCAGCTTTCATAGGACTGTCTGTTCTTCTAGAAATCAGGACATCAAGGAAGTCCATACTACTGCCGTTCTTCACTTCACTGGTGAGGCAATGACAGACTATTACGGGATATTTTTACCCAGTAGCCTTTTTCAAACGAAGGACTAGACCGATATACGAAAATTCAACATCAGCTTTCCACTGTGGACCTTGATCAAGACAACGTGCTAGGGGGCCCTAGTGATTTAAAGGCGGAAAAATCAACTGAAACGGATTAACTACACCCTAAAATCTTGAGACAAATCGCACAATACATTGCTGCCTCATCGACTATGATATTCAATATGTTAGTTAAACAAGATAATTCAACTATGGACCGCAAATATGCAAGCATCACTTTAATTCATGAAAAATTCCATCAAATTACCGACTTGTCAGTCTTACTAGTGTTGTAGTTAATTACAAGAAAAAACAATCAGAAAGGCCAAGATAAAATTCGTGGGAACAAACAACTTGTTAAACAGCAAATAAAATGATGGTGGAGAAAATTTTTTTTCGACTAGATGATTTAGGTGGAGTTGTGCTATATGAGCTTGATAGTTTGATCGTGAAGCTTTCATTATCCTTCACCATCAGCATAAACATCATGTAGAAGTGGAGTGTTCGAATTTCTTCACATACAACTCGCAGCTTGTCATATCGATCCCGGTTTTGACTGTTTATTTTTGACCTGTTCCTGTTATAGTCTAACTCGTCAATTTTATTGTATCTCCCTTTAATTTGATTATTGGTCCGATTCTCTGATTTTTTTATATTATTTGATAAAATGCATCGGTTCCGAGGTGTCTGTTGATTATTGCTTGACCTGAGCCTTAGGATTCTTAAACTTCTCTGATGGTTTTAGTTTTACCATTTTTCAAAATTTAAACATTTTCCCGGCCAGACCACTTTACATTGTCCTGCAACGGATTATGGGGTAATCTGATCATGATGTACAGATTATCAAGAAATGATTCGGACGGGGCACGTCCTCTCTCCCTACTGAATGAGAACGACTCAAAGGACGTACCAAGCGAGAACGAAAGCCAGGAATGGACAAAATCTCGGTGACATACAAGTTTTCACACCGAATAATTAATTCTTGGAACAAGTTACACGAAGAATTGGTGTCCCCCCTACAACTCACTTATTCAAGAGAAGACCAGAATCACTAGAAAAGTACTAACGAAGGCTGTAGCCTTTTTTTTTAAATACATGAGTGTGAACCCACTTATTTATTGTCCATTTAACGTTAGCTCAAGGTATCGTTCAAGGGTGTGTTGGAGCGCAATAAATAAAATTTTCGCATGTATAGGTCATCAGTAGTTTCGTCATTTAAGCTTAGAGCATTTCCCTATTTTTTGGACTTTGGTGTAGTGAGCGAATCTATCTAAAAATTAATCACTGAAGTCGAGATAATTTCATGGTATTTTTAGTTTCCAAAAATTATGATTTGCTTGTCGAGCTACATCAATTATATTGGTAAATACCTCTGGGAAGTTGCAGCTTTTTGTAAACTGGGCTGTCACTTATTTAATTGATATCGTGTGCTCAATCCAGGCACTGTTGCATAGTGTTTCATTAAATCACTCAAAGTTCTGACTAACGTCACTTAAACAGGAAGAATTATAACAATTTATAGTTATTTATTTCTAAGGAAGTATAACATCCTTACAAAGTTTTAAAAATTTATGTGTCGGTGTGCTATTTGAGGCTACAGTACACCTGGTTTTTCCCTACTTTCCGAGTTGCGCAAGTTTCGTTGCACAATTGTATAAACTCATGACATTTCATACTGTCTCGTTATGCCCTATACATAGGAAAAATGTAGTGTGGTTTGCAGCAAACCCTCAGAATAGAAGGCCTAAAACTAATTCGAGGAGTCCTTAAGCTTGTAAAAATAATACATAAAGAAATTGTCAATGATATTTTTTTTATACCTTAATCAACTTCAGTCCGATCAAACTAGTTTGTTGGCTTTGATAAACGTTAACGACTGTCACCGAAATATCACAATCTCTACTGACATGTTTTAAGTTTAAAATTGTTGACTAACACCTCGGGAAGTTGCAGAGGGGCCATGTAAAAGTCCAAGTGTGGGTCAGTGCTTTTCGGTATTTTCAGATGACCGCGTCCAGCTCATATTTATGCCTCAGAGGTGCAATCTTTTTTTCCTCAGCGTCTCAACGCCAATGATGCGTTCTTGAGTAGTGAAGCTTATGATTCTCATGAGTCCATATATTATGTTGTTCATTAAGTTTTATTAAACACTAAGGAGAATCTGCGTATTAACTATTATATAAGCTTATAGCATGTTGGCTTGTCGAAATACTCGTAGTTGTTTTAGTACAGGGTTATTGATGTGATTATAATACAAAACGGCCGTGGAAATAATACATTTTTGCCGAATTATTTTCAGAATCTCTATCACGTGCTTTAATTTATGTATATTGGGACCATTCCGTAAATTCGATTAGGATAGAAAACCTGTCTGTTATAGCTAATCGGATTGTTTTTGGGACCGATATAGGATTTAGCACTTGTATGCTCGGTTTCATGAATGCCTTTTATGACTGGTGTACGTAATGTAACTAAAGCAATATATAGCCTACGAATCTTTTATATGCCAACTTTAGTGACATTCCGTTAGTATTTTATCCTCTGTCGGCTCGTCAGGCTTTTCCTTCATGGTTCTGTGTAACGCATAAATATTTTAAAAGAAGACTAGCTTAATGAACGTCGTCTCTTTCATTTATAATATAATAGACCGGCTCATGTCGTGTATGAATTTTTCGTATTTGCAGGTAAATGTAACTGCATTTTCTGTTTTCATTTTATTACAGCTTGAAATACTAATTTAAATACTCAGAGTTAAACTTCGGTCAAATGTCAAAGCTTCTTTTATTAACGCACCCACGCCAGATTATACTTCCTTGTGATGAAGCTGCAACTCGTTCTGTCATTTGCTATTTGTCTCGAAGTAGATTACCGTTCCATGTTGATCATATTTTAAACGCTGATTCATGTTCTCCTGATCACTTACTCCCTGTTACTATTCTTAATGGCTCTATTGTGACTGGTTACACTTCTTTGTGTCTGCGTTTGAGTATATTAAAAGCCAATAAGGATATTAATCTTAATGGTTCTAAACTTACTTCACGCAGTTTACGACATTCTTACTTATTTTGGATTTCTGATACATTACGGAATGTAATGCTTTATTTCACCTGGTTTCATGAATCTACCTATTCGAATTTGACTTACGAACGTCTTAAATCTTCTACACCGCGTTTGCTAACTGGATTTATTGCCAAACGAAAACGACAACAACATCTTCGTTTTTTGGAATCTATTGGTTGGGATAAAATGAGTACAAGTGATATCGTGAAAGATATGGAAGCACTTTGTGTCAGTATTGTTGAACTACTTGGTAATGGCCCATTTCTATTTGAACGTAGTACGCCTGGGAAGGTTGATGCCCTTTTGTATGGACATTGGACTGTATTTTGCGAGTTTTCAGAATATTTCGTTTCACTAAAACCTGTTTTAGATAAATATCCCGCTATCAGCGATCTTATCAAGCGTGTTGCTGAAATATGTGATCAACCGCTTAGTTGTAAATAAAAATATTATAAGCTAATTTTTGATTCATTAGTGTATATAATACTGATTTAAAGAAACTGTTTATGTATCTAGTATTTTAAATACAAACATTCAGAAAATTGTTTTTTAGTTTACTTTCAGTACTGTATGTCCATGAAAAAATATATAAAGCTGTATGTTATTTTTGTTGCTGAATTTATTATTGTTAAGTCTTCAGTTTACTTCTTTATTTGGCAAATGCTTGCATGACTATTAACCAGGCTGTTGAGAACTGGAATTTTTTTGTGATCAAGCGTTTGGAAATTCTGTTTTCCACTAATTCGATGCATATTCAAATCAGAGTTTGTTTATTATTTAAGTATCGTTACCAAAGTTGGACTTCGTTTGAAATAAACTGAACATTCGGCAGAGTATATTTAGTAATAATATATTTGTGATATTCAATGAGTAAAAATGAGAAATTCTGGCGTTTCGTGAATTAGTGTACCACTTCCTCAGATAGTAAATAAATAAGTAAACTAATCGAATTAGCACTAGCTTGTTTTGGTTTTGGCGATGAATTTATACCTTTGGTTTCAAAAAATATATCTATCGAGATCATCAAGTTGTGTTACTGGCATAAATTTTCGTGTAATTATTAAGATTATTGATATTGGTCTACTTGTATCTGCCACAAAGTCGTATATTTTAATGCATGAATCTCTATACAATGGGTATGCTTTTATATGACAACACTTTTACTCTCCACTTATGGTCAAAAGCTTGACTGTGTGAAGCTACTACTGGCACAATTGACTCAAACTAACATATTCAGGGTTTGACTAAACTTAGTAAGTCAGGAGTCTTTAAATCTGTCCTAAGTAAGTTGGTCCTCGTGCAGCTTGTTAACTTTTTGCAGGTCCGTTTACACTGATTTAGGTTACACGTACTAAATACAGGAAGAATGTTATGAAAATGTGATCAAGCTTGAAACCCGGGTAGTTAGCTTCATCGAGTTTAGCTAGTTTTCATCCGAAATCTTTGTTAAGTTGCTTTAAAAATCTACTAATACTAAAGGATTTTTTCAAATATCTATTAATTGAGCAATAATAAATGAACTTATGGACATACCATTCGTTTACTTAATGTATTATAAAGTATAAAATATATTCTCTAGTTGCATCCTACGTATTTTATTAGACTCATTTTGTCCACCTGCTTATCTTGATTAACACTCAATGTGTAACATGCCAGGTAATTGTGTACGTTACTATACTTTATCTTTTCTGACCGTTGCAGCGAAATCTAGGCAAAATTAATTATAATATACAAAATATCACATTTTTTCACGAACGCTAATTCTTGAATATCTTTAGTTTTAAAAACTGTGACTCCAGAGTTACTGTTATTGGTTATTTATATCAAGAGCTTCACTATACTGAAATAATTAATAACCATATATTTCTACGTCTAACCTGTCTAGTTCACTTCCAATACACAGCTACTTAGTTGCGTCTGCTCGTTATGCTGACATCGAGCAAGAGTTCACAATTCTTAAATTTCCCACTACCTTGTCTTTAGTTGCCCATAATATTTTTATTTTCTTATCTTAGGTTTTCGGTGTTCCAAAGTGCATTGTAATAAACAGTCGTTATTTCCTGTTTGTTTTTATGTATCTTAAACCCACACCTTTGTGTTTTTTTTGTAGCAACATGGTTGTCGATTTCACCTACTCCCTTGTCGAAACTCGACAATTAATGAAAACTAAAATTGTTGCATGTATATGGTCGCCGAAGACGGACTTGATTGCTTTAGGTTCAGAAAGTGGGTGTGTTTCTGTGCACAGGTAAATTTTGAATACTGCCTATCATTGCATTTGTGAGGCTTTTATAATTTATCGACGATTTGGTAGGAATTTAGTGGTCTGAAATTTTGTATAACAGTTAAGTCGTAATCAACTATTCGAGCAAACTCAGTCTAATTCCTGTCGAAATATTCGGTTTATTTTTTATGACTCCTACTATAGGTGTGACAGTTTCTACTCATGAAATTACATGATTTCTAAATCAAACGAAATTATTCACTGAAATTCTGTTAAGGAAAAAGTGAAACCTACTGCCTAAAGTTATATCATTGTATCCTTTAACATCTGATAAACTGTGTACCACATTTCAATTACAGCAGAAAAGTACAAGCATTATAATTCGAACTACATAACAATCGGATCGGTAGGTGGTCCAGACTATATGATTCGCCTAATGAGTGATCATATTTGCGCCGTCACACTTATATCCTAATGTGTGACTGATACATTCTATTCAGTTTCTTAAGGCCTTTGGTCATTTTTCCATGACCCAAGTTAAGATTTTGCAGTTCTTTCTTGTTAGAAAGGAGTAACCATGCAGTTCAAAAATGTTACATTTGTCAGTTGAAGCTGTTTTATGCTATAATACGCTAATGTTTATAACCAGACTGATTTATCCATTAAGTGATATCAAGCGGTACCTAGTTCAATTTATTCAAATATGACTTTTGGTCAATCCGAATGAAGCATATAAACACAACTTATTAAGGGATAGTTTTTGATCTATTTCCGGTGCATAATGAATCCTTATTTGTAGTCTTTCTCCGCTTCCTCGTATTATTTATTTATTTGAACACATAAATATTGGTACAAGAGAGCACCAATATATATGCGCCACACAAAACAATGAGAATTCGAAGAGAAGTAGAAAAAAAACTAAGGAGCGCAAAAGAAAAAGAGAACAATGACGAAGAGATTGGGGTAAGGTAGTGTGGTAGTAACGACGGAACGAAAAGGTACAATCAGAAGAAATCTTTCAGGTAAAGGAGACACAACCACTTTTTATGAAGAAAGTAAAAGAAGGTTACAGCAGGATCGCCACTGGCTTCTATTCTGAGCCATATCTGATAACGTCTCTAGCCACTGTGTAGCACCATCTCTCGGACCCCAGCCAGGGAGTCGTGAAGGACCAACACAAGCCAGTCCTTTGCAGCTTTCTTTCATGCCACGACACCATGTCATGCACTGACCACCTCTCCGCTTCTTCCAACCAGTCCCAGAGTCGGCAAATAATGCACGACGTGGAATTCTCTGGGACGACATTCGGAGAACATGTCCAAGCCACCGAAGTCGGTGTTTCAAGATGGTGACACCAATTGAATTATCATCTCTGTGCCCGAACACACGATGCCGAACCTCTGCATTACTGACATGGTGTTGCCACTGAATGTCAGCAATCCTTCGGAGACAGCGATGATCGAACACAGAGAGTCGTCTAACGTCCTCAACTCGGAGAGGCCAGGTTTCACAAGCATAGAGCAAAACTGCTCTCACCGACGCGTTGTAGATCCGGCCTTTTACAGCCAGACTAACATCACGAAGGCGCCAAAGGTGGCCCAGATTGGCATAAGCCGCTCTGGCTTTCACTATTCGTGCATTGATCTCATCACTCACACCCCCACCAGCACTTATGCAGCTACCCAGATACACGAACTTCTCGACTACGTCTATCTGCTCACCATCCAGGGTGAGTACAGGATTAGAATCCTGCCAGTCTTGTAGAAGTACTTTGCACTTCGAAGGTGCGAAGCACATACCATACCTACGGACACTGATTGCCAACTGATTAAGTGCGGATTGCATGCCTTGGGCATTATCGCACAGTAAGACAATATCGTCCGCATACTCAAGGTCGAGAAGTCTTTCTCCAGGCAACAGATCCACACCACCATTACTTACATTCATCAGAGCTGTTTCCAGAATGTCATCGATGGCAAAGTTGAAGAGGAATGGTGAGATTGGGCAACCCTGCCTAACCCCACTGCTCGAATGGAACAATGGAGAGAGGTGGTTGTATGCCCTCACTCTGCCTGAGGTGTTTTTATACAGGGCTTTTAGGATGTTAATAAACTTCTCAGGCACACCCTTCTTCAATAGACAATTCCAGAGAACAGTCCTATCCAACGAATCGAAGGCAGCCCTGATGTCAAGAAACACTACGATTGTTGGCCTTTGAAAAGTATGGCGGTGTTCTAACATTTGGCGGAGGGTGAAGATATGATCAATACATCCTCGACCAGAACGAAACCCAGCCTGCTCCTCGCGAGTCAATCTTTCTCGGGTTTTGAACAACCTACGAAGAATGACGGAAGCCAATAGCTTGGACGCAATCGGAAGTAAACTTATCCCCCGATAGTTGTTACAAGAACGACGTGAACCCTTTTTAAAGATAGGGACAACTATCGACTCATTCCACGACGTTGGTACACTCTCTAGTTCCCAAACCTTTGTAAACAACGTCGTCAATTCCTTAGTCAAAAAGTCACCACCATCTTTAAAAAGAGCCGGAGGTAAGTCATCTGGGCCAGGTGATTTGTAACGCTTCAAGAGTTGGAGTTCCTTGCGGACTTCCTCCTCATTTGGTGGATCAGTCGTCACCGGCCATGGAGGGCAGGACAGTCTGACCGATGTTGCCGGAGCAGCAGGCCAGTTGAACTGTCCTTCGAATAATTCTGCCCATCGTCCAAGACGTCGATGGATGTTAGTGATTGGCATCCCATCATTCCCGCAGATTGTTCCACTCACACCAGACTTCTTGCTGCCAGTGGCTCGGATGAGCTGGAAGAGCTTGCGGTAGTTACCAGATGCAGCTGCTGCTTCCAGCTCATTAGCACGCATCGACCACCAGGCTTCTCGGTCCTTACGCAAGCTTTGCCCAATTACCTTACGTAACATCCTTCGTTTATGGTCAAACTCACGGTCACCCGGAGTAGACCGACGGGCTTCAATGAGTTGTAAGGAACCTGGAGAAACCCAGTGCTTAAAAGCGGGACGTTTCGCAAACCCACAACTGACTGTTCCCGCCATTTTCATGGCGTCATGCAATTGCAACCAATGCTCATCTATACTTTTCGGTGGAGTGGTAGCTAGCCTAGAGGCTAGCTCGGTTCGATACTTACTTGCAACAGAAGTTGCAACCAGCTTGCTAACATCAATCTTTTGGTGGTGGTCACTTCGTTGGCCACTAAAAAGTAAGGCAAGATTGGCGCAGACCAAGGCATGGTCAGAG